ATTTTCGCCACATATATATAATTTCACACTGACATGAGGACAAGCAAGCTACCAACGTAACAGCAATGATAATGGCAGGAGTGGGCACAGATTATTGAAATGAAAATGGAGGAAAGACAGATAACAAGATGAACAAATGAGTGCGTAATTCTCTTTTGTTAGTTTCACAGCACACGTTTGTCTATTATGGGGAACAGGGTCTCGACAAACAAATGGCACAACAATCTCTCGCAAATGACATCCATTCTGGCCAATATGTTCCAGCATCTCCAGCCGCCAGCAATCTTCGTCGCTCGAGCCCCAGCCTGGAAGGTAAGCTGCATCAACCAAAGCCGATGTTGAGGTTAGCTTTTACATACCTCTGCGTCAGTATGCTATTTCTAACCTTTACCAGTACGCGCAAACAGAGCATACAAGACCGGCGCGAAACTCAGCCTGCTCTTCGAGTCACGCTACTCACATATATTGTGCAATCTATGAAGAATAACGAATGCAAACAGTCTGGATATTATTGGGATAAGGCTTATTTCCCTGTGGTTAACACAAACACTGCATGTACTTTTTAACAGATGGGCAGCAGACACGCTTACCCCTGCGAAGAGGGAGGGGACCTGCTCCGTGTTCCAAACATTCCATAACAGAATTTTGCAGCTCTCTAACAAGCTTCATTCCGCCATCCAGAAATAGGACCGGGGGGGAGGGAGGAGGCCATCGGAGCCCGGCGCTTTCTGCCGTCCCACGGTTTACGTCACCTTGCGGATCTCCCCCTCGGAAGGTAGGTCTGTTGAGACAGACCATGGGACGTGTGCCCGTGATAGCTGTGCGAGAAGCAGACGCTGATGACCAGCTAAACTGTGCCTCTAAGTGATCTGCCCAGCGTACAAGATTTCGCTGTCGATCGTGAACAAGTGAGCAGTCAGCTTCATAAACAGTTTCGCTCACGTCCAAAGCTTTCCTATCACTGAATCGCCTGAAATGAAACAGCTTACGAGAATTTCCCCCGAGCGGCAGCATGTTCCATCTCTGATACGCGTTAAGAACGCCGAAGTTCGCAGTCTCCGCGTAGGTGGTAGCCCGGTGGTAACGTCACCAAATTGTCACCCCGTGGATGTGAGTTTGAATCTCACCACCACCGCCTGACTTTACCCATTGTGTGTTGAATGGCAGCCCTTTGATTGGCCGCTTCCCCCTTCCTGAAAATTGTATCTTTGTGCATTCAATAAAAGGAAGTAAAAATGAAAAGAAAGAAAAAGGTTAGCGCCAAATTCACGTCTCGCGTTATGCTTGGTGCCGGTTGGAATTGACGGACATGGGTCAATAGGCTGTAGAAACTCAGTAAAAATCCAGGATGTCACGGCACGACGTGCCAGTCCACAATTTACTTGCTCAGCAGAATGCAGAGCATTATTGATAAGTGACCAGTGCGACTGCTGGCTTCTCATCTAGCGCGTTTTGAAAGAGACTTAGGCATGCTGGTTGAGACAACTAATGGCAGTCTAACCATCCATGTGTAACGCGTTTGGGACATCCACCGAAACAAATGGACAGCTTGGCGTAAACTGATGCTTGACTGGATTCAAGAGGAGCGCGCCAGTACGGTCGATAGTCATTTGCGGCTTATAGCAATATGGGCGATCTGCGTTTGTCACTGACTCGAGGAGAGCAGACGCCAAGTGGCGCATTGGCAGTTGAATCATCTGAAGTTTGCACTGGCAAGGAATAGGCGGTGGTCGAAACACAGAACCAACAGCCGTTCCCCGTTTTCCGAGCGACAGGAATCTAGCCCGAAAGGTCCTCCCAGGTGCGCCTTACTCGAATTCAGTCGGCCTACTACCCTAGCATTAATATCTCCTGCTAAAATCACGATATCAGCCCAGTCCGTTTTACGCAAGAGGTCGTGTAGTTGTTGGTAGAAAGTATCTTTGACTGTATCTGTTTGTAGATGCGTACGCTGAGACGACAACCAAGTTGCATCTTACGGAGCGACGACTATTTACTTTGCACGAGCGTCTAAGTCTAACTGCGCACAACCGACTGTTGACTGGGATCCAATCTAGGGGTGTGGCATCACCTCTCTCATTGAGAGCCACGCCAACGACAGCAAGACCAGAAGCCTCAGTTAAAGGGTCCCCAGAAAGTGAAACTTCGCGGATGGATTTAACGGGGACATTAATCGTATGGCGGAGTTAAAGATTTGAATGCGAGTATATAACACACATCGATGGCTAGGGTCTCGGGGGTACCAGCTAAACATTCCACGCATGGGAGTTTGGGAAATAGAGAGGGATGATGGAGATCCCCAGTCAATGAACAAATCAAATTCAGTTTAATTGTACATAGATTGCTTTGGTCTATAGTTCGTTCATTGTTGATCTGTAACCGTTTACGACTTTTCATCGCTTACAGAAAGGGATTATTACGATATCCGAGAAATATATGTATCCGTCAGTGAAAGACAAACGCTCAAAAGTAAACGGCTGGTGGTTCTACTTTCATAATTGTCCGCTTCCCCGACATTTTTTCTTCTATTCTTGTTGTTCTAGTGCGTAACCTCTGTCTAAAGACTTCTCCTTAAGCATTCGACCAAGTGTTAAATAGTCAAAACATGAAAATGACCAATGGGGTGAATAAAACGAAAATAAAAATTAGACCCGCTAACATCATTGAAGGGAGGTTGTTTAGTTCACAGAGAGTTCGTTAGTTAAATGTGAGATTTTTTTGCTTTTCAGTGAATAGATTTCAGCAGATTTGAAAATAAAATCTGCTGGAAGGCTGACATCAGGTACTGTGTTAAAAATAAAAACAAACCGACGAAACGAGCACGCGCGCACACAAACAAACAAAACACAATACGCAAATGAAGGTGAGATTCACTCACTCCAACCGTTTGGTACGGGCTCTGCACCGAGGAGGAATAGACAAGATTTCAAAGTATTATATTGAATGATTGATTAATTCGACTGAATATCCTTCGGACTTCACCTATACGTACAATCCTCAGTTCATCGATATATATTTAGATGGTGATTTTGGATTATATACATATATATATATATATATATATATCAAGTGAGCAATGGAGGATTTGATTCAATTTCAAATGGGAAATCGGCGTGTATATAGCAAACCAAGCATGAACTCAAAAGTGCTGGACAGCTGTTTCGACCTGAGTGGGACCTCACAGATAGAACGCGAGTACTGCTGATGAGACCTAATCCATATCGAAACAGCTGCCCAGTGCTTCCTAACTTTTCAGTCCACGCTTCATTTGCTATATACACGACGAATTTCCATTTGAAATATATATATATATATATGTATATATGTATATAATCGGGAACTACTACTATGTTCACACATCTATAATCGTCACAGGTTTGCGAGTGAAACTAATGTTTGTCTGTCTCGGTGTGTAGGTTGAATCAATTGACCGAGTGTAGAGCTTCGAGGATTAATCGTTCCCCCTTCTTGGCACGCGCCACCACCTTTTAGTTATCGATCACAATCTCATGATCTGTCCGTGTGCAGTCGTTCCNATCACGTCGGATGGCAGGCTGATGTTCATGTAGGTGTCGGTGTAGTTCTTTGCCTGTCTCAACTATGTGATTTTGATTGCTGCCCAGGCACCTTTGTTTTCGGACCCCTGATGCATAGCAATATGTCATGATCATTCACAACTGTCTGACTAGCCGCACCTTCGGTAAATCATTTAGGACGCTTCACAGCCACGATTGACAAATTTATTTCGTAAATGAGCCGCGCTTTAGCGCATAATTTATCAATCCGTATTTTGAGATGGCACCAATAATATACAGGTTTCTGCCTCTGCTACTGGCAACCGTGCAACGTGCTTTCTGTCCCCGCACGGCACGTCTACGACTCGGATTACAAAATTTGCTGGAAGAAAAC